CCCCAAAACCCCAAAACCCCAAAACCCCATTGATGAGAATCTATGCTTACAATGTTTGAAATTTTAAATAAGTTGAAATAATTCTGATTATAATTTAATAAATAAAATCCTAAAAAATGTTTAAAAAGTTTATATTGCTGATTTAACTAGCATTTACCTAGATATTTTAATAACTCATTTATCAAAAAGTCGAATAATGTTTTACATAAGATTTACCAAGGCAACTGCGATTCACTAATGAAACTATCACTTATTCAGATTACTCTGCAATTGATCAAGATGTACTAGGTAATTTCATAATTGGAGGTTAATTCACTAACATTCTACCAAAGAATGATTAATGTCCTTATTAAGCATATCTAGAATCAATGAATCCAACTGGAGTCTATAATTGGGCAAGAACATTTAGTAATCAAAATTTATGTGGATTTCCTGTGTTTACTACAATCAAAGGAACATCCACTTCAATGAATCATGGAGTTGGCTTATTGAGTTCATATTTGAAAGACAGATTAACAATTGTATATTTAACATTGAATGAAGGTTTAGTGATAAAGAGTTTTGTGTTACTAATGCCATTATCTAAATCTTACAACCCAGGTTAGTTGGTAGTATCTAAAACATAATACGGAGTCATAGCTTTAAATAATCAAACCAATTGGGGGATAATGATATTTGAATTGCTTACTGATAAATACTGAATTATAGGGAATAATAATTAATTTGATAAAGCAACAAATGCAATAGTTGATTCTATCGGTAGTACTTATTTTATCTTGGGAAAAATAAAAAATAATCACTCGATAAACGTATTCAAAATAAATTCTATGCAGCAAACTTAACTTTAAAGAATGAGTATAGACTTAAGTATTCAAAATGAAACCTCTATTTATTCGACAGAAATCAATAAGATGGTGTTATTTGAAGGAAGTAATTATAACTTTTACTTTGTGGCATAATTCTATGATAATGATCAGTTAAATTCTAAAAAAGCAGGTTTAATTAGATTATAGGTAGATAAATCCAGTTTTCTCATTTAAGACTAATAATAAATGATACTATTAAATTATAAAACAGAAGTTCTTGATTTAAAGGCAATAGATGGCAAAAAACTAAATTACTTATTTAAAATTTAAACTGAAGCAGATTTTTAGATATGCTCAGCGTAGTTTTCATTTCAATAAACCTTCGGTTAAGAAAATTAGTAAACTATTAAATGTGTGCCGATGATTTAAAATAATGACTTTTAGGTACTTATTAATGTGGGAATCTTAGTGAATTTTGATTTAGAGATATATATAGGAAAGTATACTACATTTGGACATCCTACTAAATACTCATATGCCATCATTCAAAGTTTAAGTTAAGATTCCGAATGTAGACTGCCTGAAGAAATTAAAATTACACTAAATAACTCAAATTATTAGTATTAAATATACTCTGATGACTCTTATTGCCATGGGACGGATGCTTTTCTGTCATAGACAGCATTTACAATTGCTTGAAAGAAAACGGAGGAATATACAATTTTACTTATCATAACTTAACATAAGAAAACGATACGTGCGAATATTACATAGATTTTTTTGCTCCTGATATAAATTCAATTAATTTCAAAAATACCTATCTCATTCTTAAATCAACATATATGATTATAAATACTACAAACCTAACATTGGCTGGAAATAGTTTGTAATACTCGCTAAAATATAATAGACGATATTCTAATAAGGTGGTAATCTTCAATTTAACTATTAGGCTACTTCATCCTTGTGAATAAGCTTAGATAACATCCTATCCTATTAAAGATATCAATTATGACATTGAATCAACCATATTATATACCTAAGATATTGTTATGTGGAAACATAATATGAGGTAATATTAATGTGGGCAAATTTCATACACAATTGAAGTAGCAAGAAATAGCAATATTGATGTCGATGTCCTTTTATCAGATTTCATGATATAAGATCAATCTACTATAAGTTTTAGAACATCGAACCAAAACTTTGTAGGTACTTTTAATTTCTTTATTGCCGGAAGAATTGGAAATTATTCTCTAATAAAAACAGAATTCTTTAAGTTGAATTTATTCAAATAATGTTCGTAAGCTGCTATTTTAATCTCTAATGATTACTTAGATCTTTAAATTGATTTAGGAGGTTAACTCATAATTTCATTTAATGATTGGCAGATTTCTTAACTTTATTGTGGAGAAATCGATTTTTAGTTTATTATTGATCAATCAGTTAGTGTGAGTAATGACTTAATAAAGTCTTACGATTCAGACAGTAAATAATTGATTATTTAGGCATATTCCTAAAAATATTTTGGTTTTCATATTCTAAATGTTACAGCATAGCTAAAAAATGGAATACAAATTCAAAAAGATATTAGGTTTAAGATTATTAATCCTTGCGAAATCGAACCACTAATGCAACTAAACATAAAAAACTAAACTATTGATATTTATGATAAATAGGAATATTCTTTTGAATTCGAGCCTCTTTTAGATAATCTAAATCCAGTGTGTTGATCAATTCAATATTAAATTATTCCAATAATTTCCTAAAGTAATCCAGAGATTGATTATTAGTTTAATGGTGACTCAAGAATTATGGCTTTAAGGTTTGCCTCTCTTTTTTAAAATAATAAGTTATTTTGCTTACTAAATTACACCTTCATCTACTAAGCTATATTACCTATATAAGATGGGAGAGTTATTGGTTAGAACAACTTTAATGTCAAAATAGATTGTCATTGCAATATTACATTTTTGGATAATGTTTAAACTAGCTACATATACAATCTTTAACTTGGATAACAGAAAACCTTCGACATTCTGAATTTTTTTTAATCTAATTTAATCTGTCCAATATCAAGAATATTATATTCTTTAGAATTTCTGAATTAGGAATTAGAAAATTACCTAGAGCTATCCTATACTAATAAATTTCAATTGAGATTAAAGAAAGCAATCACAGATGAAGCATTTATTGGTGAAAATATCATTTTTATCAAAGGCACTAGTACTCTAAATGGAGTAGAATTTTCGAATAAAACTAATGTCACCATTTCTATCGGATATTCTTGTAAGTACAACAAATTAAAAAATCTAAGTAATTTAAGCAATCAGACAATTATTTATGATTTATACTCAGATGCTAAAGATTTAGATTTTACATAATGGGAATTTGAAAACTCAAATTGTGAATATAGTTACTTCATAGCTTCTATCAAAATTATTAATGAAGAATTGCTGTTGAACGTATCATCCACTATTAAAGCTCATGTTGATAATATGATAATTCTAAATCAATAGAGTGAAGGAAATTATTCATTCCGCGTTTAAACAGGAGATAAATGATTAGTTGGTAAATATCAAGTGGAAATTAGTGTCAAAAACTTGCCTTCTTTAAAGGATACTTTTGTAGTAATTATTTAAGATTGCAAGATTCAATCTATTTAGCCTCCTTCTTAAAAATATTACTACTAATACATACTTGGAAGTGGTCAAATGAATATTCCTATTTTGCCATTTTTATCAGATAAAAAATGTAATGCTTAATTTACTTACAGTTTCGATATTATAAGTGATGATTCTTAAAAATCTGGTTCTGAATTTATTAAATTTATTGAGGATTATTAAATGATCCTAATCAATTCATCAATGTAAAAATTTATGGGAGATTATATTATTTACATAACTTGTTCTATACTTCAATAATCAATGAGTATCAGTAGTTAATTATAAATGAAAATTGAAGTTAAATCAAGAGAAATTAACACTGCTCCATATTTTATTAATGAACCTGAAGATGTAAAAGTTAATGGAGGAAAAATAAAGATTGTATAAATTCCTTTGATTAAAGATGATTAAGGAGATAAATATGAAATAATTCTAGAAAATATCCCTTATTTTGGTAGTTATCAAAATAACTAATTGAAGCTTTCTCCATCCTCTGTTGATGAAGGAACATTCATTATCAAAATTAAACTTTAGGACGTACGATCAAAAAATGAGAAAACATCTTATTACTAAATTAAAGTAACTGTACTTCCAACAGATGAAACTACTGTTAGCTAGGCAAAAATCAATGAATACTTTAATATGACTTCTACTGATTTCAAAATTGGTAACTCTACAATTTCAAAGAAATAATTAGAAAATAAAATGTTAATGATAATTTAAGATATCGATTAGTTTGGGTTAATGACATTGCAATTTGATAGCAATCTATTAATACCATCCAGTTTAGATCCAATTATATATTTCAATGGATTTAAATTCTACCTTCTAAGAGGCTCTTAAAATCCTGAATTTATCAATTTCAACGTAAATTAGTTCTAAAAAAGAGAAGATAAATAATTGAGAAGGTTGATAGCATAGTATAAATTATCATCTATATCTACTCTCTAATACAACTGGAATATCTCAGAATTCAAGAATAATAAAATTTAAATTCAGTTTGATTTTCCAAGCCCAATCAACATTTCTCAGAATTAGGTAAAATAATTTAAGTAATGAGATAAAAGGTAGATAAGCTACAGGTTGTAATAAATCAGAAATATTTCTTTATTAGTGAGGATATGAAGAAAATAGCAGATACTTCTTAAATATATTAGCATGAGATTCCTCCGTAACTGCCAAACAATGGTAAGAAATTTAGATTTAACAATTACATTAGCTGCAACCAAGGCATTGAAAATCCTAGCTAGTTCAGCTAACTCAGCAATTACAGGGGCTATAACTACAAATATATTTCTTTCAATTATAATGGGATTATCTATGAAAAAGCTTTGGATGATGATTCAAACCTTGTAAATTATGGTTCATCTTCCGCTTTTATCAATTTAGTTACCTGCAAATACTATTCTCTGCTTTAGATCCATCATAGATATCTCAAACATGAATATTATTCCTATTAGGTATATCCAGGAGTTCGTGAAAATATTTGTGAAAGACAGTTAAAGTAAAGTACAAGAAAATTTTCGATAAATGGATATCTTTTCTATATTTTCAATTCAATTTAGACTATTAACTTGTTTACGCTATTAGTCAAATGATATTTTGTTCAACCTTGGATTAATTTTCTTTTTCTTGATTATTGCATTTGCTTTAGGTATAATTGTGGTATTATTAGCTAAGATCTCTAAAAGATATAATTTGTAATTTTGATTTTATATTTTTTAGATGTACAAAATTGATTGAAATTATTAAAAAATCTCTATTTTACTAGCTATTTCTAAGATCAACAATGAAAGGATATCTTAACTTTTGTATTTGTTCTTTGATTGGGCTAACTCATGTATAATTCATATTATATTAACAAAGATTTTAGATTTAAGAATAGCAAGAAATTTCAGCTTTTGTTTCTATTTTATTATTTTTGTACATCCTCATCATCCCAGGATTCGTCATTATATTCTTCAAAATTAATTTAAGCAAGTTAGAATCTTAAGAATTCAAAGATAAATACTTGACTCTTTATTAAAATCTTAGGACAAATAACTTTATGACTACTTTTTAAACTCAACTGTTTTTTCTCAGAAGATTATTATTTGCTTTTTCAATAATGATGATAAAAGAAATTCCATTCCTCTAAGGAGTAATTTAGATTATCAGTAGCATGTTTTTGATATGCTATGTGATTCATTACAAACCCTTCTTAAAGAAGGTTGATATGTACTTTGAAAT